TAAGTATCGGCTTCACCCTGGTCATTGTCTTCTTTGTCATTCTGGTCGTGGCCATTCTGGGCTCCTATGTGATATACCGATTCCGCGGAAAGCAGGAGAAGATTGGCAGTTTGAGCTGTGGTGTGCCTGGCTTTAAGATCAAACATCCCGGCGGTCCAGTGGCGCAGAGTCAAGTCGATCACGTCTTGGTTCGTAATCTTCATGCAAGTGAAGCCCCCTCTCCGCCGGGCGTTGGTACCGGAGATCATATGCGACCGCCTGTGGGAAGCCACCACCTGGTGGGTCCCGAGCTGCTTACCAAGAAGTTCAAGGAGCCCACGGCGGAGTTGCCTCAACCAGGACAACAGCAGCCACAGCAACGCCCCCAGCGACCGGACATCATAGAGCGTGAGAGTCCGTTGATAAGGGAGGATCACCACCTGGCCATTCCACCCCTACATCCACTGCCTCTGGAGCACGCCAGCTCCGTGGACATGGGTTCCGAGTATCCCGAGCACTACGACCTGGAGAATGCCAGCTCGATTGCACCCTCTGATATAGATATTGTGTACCACTACAAGGGCTATCGGGAGGCGGGGGGTCTGCGCAAGTACAAGGCCAGTGTTCCACCGGTTTCCGCCTACACCCACCACAAGCACCAGAACTCAGGTTCCCAACAGCAGCAGCAGCAGCACCGCCATGCTGCTCCGTTCGTGACCCGGAACCAGGGTGGTCAACCGCCTCCGCCGCCCACCAGTGCATCCCGCACCCATCAGAGCACTCCACTGGCCAGGCTCTCGCCCAGTTCCGAGCTGAGTTCCCAGCAGCCGCGCATCCTCACGCTGCACGACATCTCGGGGAAGCCCCTCCAGAGTGCCCTCCTGGCCACCACCTCCAGTTCCGGTGGCGTGGGCAAGGATGTCCATAGCAACAGTGAGCGTAGTCTAAACAGCCCAGTGATGTCGCAACTCTCCGGCCAAAGTTCCAGTGCTAGTAGGCAAAAGCCGGGAGTTCCCCAACAGCAGGCCCAGCAGACATCCATGGGTTTGACGGCCGAGGAAATCGAGAGGTTGAATGGAAGACCGCGAACCTGCAGCCTGATTTCCACCCTGGACGCCGTCTCCTCAAGCAGTGAGGCACCTCGAGTGTCCAGTAGTGCCCTCCACATGTCGCTGGGCGGTGATGTCGATGCCCATAGTTCCACTTCCACGGACGAGAGCGGCAACGACAGCTTCACGTGCTCGGAGATCGAGTACGACAACAACAGCCTGAGTGGCGATGGGAAGTACTCGACCAGCAAGAGCCTTCTGGATGGACGCAGTCCCGTTTCCCGGGCCCTCAGCGGGGGAGATACGACCAGCAGGAATCCCCCTACGAGTGTGGTCAAGACCCCGCCCATTCCACCGCATGCCTACGATGGATTCGAGTCATCCTTTCGGGGGTCGCTCAGCACACTCGTGGCCAGCGACGATGATATAGCAAACCACCTGAGTGGGATCTACCGGAAGGCCAACGGAGCTGCGTCTCCATCGGCCACCACGCTCGGCTGGGAGTATCTACTCAACTGGGGTCCCAGCTACGAGAACCTAATGGGTGTCTTTAAGGACATCGCCGAACTGCCCGACACAAATGGTCCCCCGCAGTCGCAGCAGCAGCAGCAAACCCAGGTTGTGTCCACGCTGCGAATGCCATCTTCGAACGGACCGGCGGCTCCAGAGGAATACGTGTAATATATGTAATCAAGGGTGCCACAGAATTGGGGTTTTGAAATCACCTGTTAAGGTGTTATAGACACCTTTATATGTGGTTTCAAAACCCTAATGCTTTCGTTGGCACCCCCAATAAATATATATTTAGGGGTGCCACATAAGTCTCCAACAAAAGTCAAACTGCTCCTAAGGTCTGAGCAAATTCTCTACAATACAACAGTTCCGAAGTTCACTAGAGATTTCTATGGCACCCCAAATCCCCTTATGATCGAAATTCAAGAGATTTTCTCGGTAGCACGTAAATGTATATGTAAATTTTGTGTAAAGTTGCAACATTTCTTAGTAGATCGTAAGTAATGCCATTTTATTTGCAATGTACAACGAAAACGTAACGAGGATAGAATGTAAGTTAAACAAAATGTAAAATCGTGCATATTTAGGAAGTAAGCATCTAAGCATATCTGAACACCTTGTATCAAGGTCAACCATCCTAAGTGCACTTCCGTTAAGGGTTCAAAAGCAAAACTGTAACGACTGATACTTCCGTACATTAACAAGCCCTAAAATGTTTTTTAAATTAATTCAACATCTGTACTTGTGTATATGTTTTCTGAGTGCTATATTAAGATAGTTTCAGCAACAGTATGTATTGAGTTTTATCGCCATTTAAGTACATTCTAACATTGCTCTAATTTATTGTCAATCTCGCCAACATCCCCTAACTGCCTTAGTCGTACTCATAGACAATTAACTTCAGATATACTTCGCATTCCTCTAGATGTATTCTTAAAACACCGTGTATATGTATGTAAGTTTGTATTTTTAATTCGTAGTAAAATGTTATTAAATACATATTAACCATCAAATATCGTTTTAATTATATGGAAAATAGTTGCCAATTTAAGATTTTCTGAGTATCTTTACTACTTATTTATGGGAAATGAAAGTAAGTAAACAAAACTCTGAGAGCTTGTGATCGGCAATTATCAAAAAATTAAGCAAAAATAAATAAAAACCTACGTATGTCTTCAAATTGTTCCACCGGCAATTGATTTTTCTCGCAAAGTTTTTTTTTTTAAATACCTGAAAAAGTAAATGCTTGTTTCGAATTCATCGTTTTACTATCTTGACCCATCCGTCCCACATTTTTTACTAAAACAAAATAATATAATAATATAATTAATATTCGGTTTATATATTCAATTAATTTATTCAGGGTCATGGAAAAGCAATAGCTTGCCGTTTCGATCGTATCTGGTCCCCGTGACAAGGGGTACACTTATTAAGATGCAATGGTTGTGTTAATTTACATTTGGTTGGGGTGTTCCGAATTACTCTTATGAATGTCTGCTAGTTTCTTGTTTAATCTCTGAACTAATTCCAGCACGGGTTTCTGATCAATCCACTGGTCTTCCACTCCGCCAAGCCTGTCATTTAAGTCCTTTGGAACGATGTCTGTAAAGGACTCTTGCAGGGATGCCTGTCCCATCTTCATTTCCGCCAAAATATGAGTCATCGTTCCCGTGAGTTCAGTCATTTTCTTTTTAAGTAAGTTGATCTCGGCGATAAGGTTTTTCGATCGGTAATCGGCAACGTGATCTAGCAATGGTAACATTTTCTTCAAAAGTAGATTCGGGTCTTTCAAAAGGCCACAGTTGTCTTCGTGCAAGGCATTTGCCTGGGATCCATATAGATTACAGACAATGAATGCGATCGTAAGATAAGTTCCCAGTTTAAACATTTTGAGCGCGTATAACCGATAATGGCGAACTTTCACAGTGAATTAAATCTTCAGTTCGGCTTGGAGTGGCTTTTAATCTCTACGAAGAGTGCACAATAATGATTAAGTGGAACCAAAGATTCGGTTTTTCTACATTTTTAATCTCTACGGATTGTATATGTACATAAAGTTAAATTATGTTAATGTACGAAATTGGGGAAATTTTGTTTAGTCAGCGGTTTTGATAAGGCTATTCACGAAGACTTCTTCTTGACAGGCTTTTCATAACAATTTTCACAAAAAGTATTTTAGCTAATTTTTTCAGTTTTGAGGTATACACACATACGTACTTCGCAAAAATAATTATCCAAATTGAAAATGATCCAAATTGAAAATTTGAAAATAGTCACGTTTTATAATTTTACTGAGGGTTTTATGCCGATTTATTTGAAATTTAATATTCGGCAGATTCGGAGAAAAATGTAAAAGAGGAAATTACGGAAAATATGAATTTCTGTGCATTACGTTTTAATTATTATGAAGAACTGTAGATGAGATACTACTGAAAATATATGTATAAAAATTATTATAAGCACAAGCTCGGAGAATAAGCAGCAAGTGTTAAGTTTTGATCTTATGTATCTTTTCAAATATTTGTTAATTATAATATGGCAGCTAGTTCATAAAGTGCCAGGTTTTTTAAAAAATTTTTTTTTAGATATAAGAAAAGCCATAAATATTGAATAAATACATACCATACATGGACTATCGCTTGAAGGCCAAAATTAACCTGTAGACTTCAGTAAAAATAAGCAGAGTTGAAACCGTGGTTTTCTTTTCTGTCATACAGTTCCCAAAATAATAAATAAAAAACAGTATTTTAAATTACAATAAATAGCTAGAAAATATCGATCCCGCTGTTTTCAAAAAAGCTGTGGAATACGTTAAAGGCGCCCATCTGGCAACACTGGCCAACCCACAACAGCCCGAACAGCTGTTCGCCAGAGAAGAAGAAGAGCGTGCGCGAGAGCGTTCGTGAATGAATTAAAAGTAATTTAAGTTTTTCGTGTGTGTAGCGGGCAAAAACTAAAAACACGTAAATAAATGTGATAAGCAAGTTGTCAGCTGGTGATAACAGAAAGGTCACCTGGAACGGCTGAAACACGTGGAATATGACGAAAGCGAGTGGAAAAGTGTGAAACAGCCGCCTAATTAGAAAAAAAAGTGAAAGTGCATACAGAATTCTGCCGCCCACGCCCCCTCTTTTCGTGGGCGGGGGCACCCCCGCCCCTTTGCGCCCCACTTTTCCCGCCCCCCTTGTGTGTGTGTGCTCGGGTGTGCGTGGCGTGCGCCTGTGTTGCGCGACCTTCACGCAACCTTCAACATGCAGCAACACGTTGTGTGCAATCAAACATTTAGCCAATAATCCGAATAAACAACGAATAAGAACAACAACGAATCGCAATAACAGCTAAAAAATAAAAGCAGAAATCAAACCAACCGGCTGCCAATGGCAACCAAAAACAAAAATCAACAAATTCTCACGACAACAAAAAACTGCATTGCGCTCTCCCTCTCTCTTCGGGTTCTCGCTCTCTCTCTCGCTTAACCCGTTTGCTCTTGCGATTTGAATTTCGGATTCAATTCAACTTCAAAAGTCGAGCGGTAAAGTTCGCCCCGCGATAAAGAAGTGATCCCATCCTGCGAGTGAAAATAAAAACAAATTCCAGCCGCGTTATCAAAACGGGCCTGAAATCGTGTCAGTTTAATTGATAGCAGCCCTACATAATAATCGGGATTCGTATTGCCCCATGCAAATTAGCACGTATTTCATTAGCATTTCAAAACTTTCGTGATATGGCGTTTCAGTTTCGGTACCCGGTGATTGACAAATAAATACCCTATGCTTTACACCCTATTGTTTCTTAAAATTTAAATTTAATTGAGTAAAAAAGTGCTTCAAGAAATCCTGTAATTTGTTTTAAAGCCTCTTCATATGGTAAACGTTTGTTGGCAAAAGTAATTTGAATATTATTAATTTTATAAACTCCAAAAAAAAGTAATGTTTATAATGATATGTTACTTATTTTAAATCAACATTAACCATCAAAACAAGCTGATCACCGGGTACCCCAAAGTCCTTATAGTTCTGTTAGATATTCATAATAGTTTCAACTGCATTACTTATGCTAAGTTATTTGTACACGAGCGCGAAAAGATCGCGTTACGTCATTTGAGCTGAAACAATTTACAATCTCCCTCCAGTCAATTGCAAAACAATTTTCTGCCTCTTACAGATAAACAGGCACAAAAGTTCAACGGCACTCGGTCGATTATAAATAAGCCAACAAGCAGAAACAATTAATTAATTTCTTTATTTGGCACAATAATTGCCGCAAACGAGTCGCGTGTGAACGAACAAACAGAATTACGGACCCACTGGCACATCATCGGAAGCCCCAAGCCTTATAGCAGATATAGCTCGAGATTCCACAGATCGGCGACAAAATGAATGACCGTGAATTAGGCTGTGCGGGCGGCCAGTTTATGGATCGCGGACGGATGAATCAGAATGGAGTGGTCCAGCCCCTGCTGACAGGTAATTACAAAGTATTTATGGCCAACAGATGGCTGTCAATATTACCTAACTATATTAGGGCATTTTTGATTAATATTTAAAGAAATCTGAGGGCCGACCTAAAAGTGTTTCAATCCATTTTATTGGCCTTAAAAGCTGTATTGAGTTATTATTTCATAATATTTTTACTCGAGAACTTCAAAAACAATTTTGAATAAGTATTGAAAAACAAAGCGACACAAAAAAAACTGATAATATTATCATAGTCAATTAATATGTTACAAACAATTTGTTAAAATGTTGAAATTTGTAAGATGTAGAGTTTTCAAGGCAGTAGAACCAAGTGCCCTCCTTACCAATTCTAGTTATAAAAACTTAAGGTATATTTAATACCATATTTTAGGAGGTTTTTTACTTCGATTTTAAAACCCAAAAGCCAACTGACATTTAAGCAGAGACATTTTGGCGCGCTATGCAATGCTGCCGGCTTTACCAATATACCTCTCTATATGTACCCCACATATATTTTTAGGCATGGTAGACACGAGCGCAAATAAATAAAACAAAAAAGCGATCTTTAGGTCTTTGCACTTAGATAAGAATTTGCATTTCATTTGCAGGCTCGTGTTTTTGTATCTGGGTAGCGATAATTGCCCCCATCAGCTATAGACTTTCCAGGTTATCTTATCTGCCGCAACTCTAGACTGAAATTTTCGCTACTATGTACGGAGGGACCTATTTAAGTTAAACCTTAAATATGCAAAGTAATACGATATGCATAGTATATAGTATTTTGGCTTAATTCCACTTTTCCAGGTCCTGTTATTAAGCAATATAAATCTTGTCCACGACTAATAAATGTATTCATCTACTATATTACAGACTTGTATCAAATAACGATGGCCTACGCCTACTGGAAATCCGATAAGACCGATGACACGGCCGTATTCGATCTGTTCTTTCGCAACAATCCATTCCATGGTGAATTCACGATTTTCGCCGGGCTCGAGGAGTGCCTGAAATTCCTGGATAGCTTCCACTATTCCCAAAGCGGTGAGTGCTTGGACATCTATATTTTTTTATTCATATTAGTTAATCAATTTGATTGGACCCCTTTCAGATATCGAATACCTGAAGCAAACACTGCCCGAGGGCATTGAGCACGAGTTCTTTGAGTACCTCGGTAACCTGACGGCGCGGGATGTCACCTTGTATGCCATTGATGAGGGCACAGTAGCATTTCCACGGTGGGTTTGCATGGGATCCATAGGACTCGTTTATATTTCTTACATATTCAAATCATTAGGGGATGTAATCTTAGCCTATCAATATATGATAATTAACATTCAAAGTATATGTTGCCTATGCTTAATATCAAAATTTAATTATTGTTTATACATTTACTGTTTTTAAGAAATATATATAATATTTAAGATTAGAAGTATTACACATGTTGAGGTTTTTTTATGTAACAAGAACAGCTAATGTTTATGGAATTTAAAATGTATAACTTATTCTTCAAGATATTTGATAAGAAGTCATCAAAACAGTCAGCACTTATTTAATCAGAAAATTACTTTATGGGTCTTATACCCAGGCATCATTACGAGTATTATCAGTTTTGAGGTCTTTCATGCTAATCAAAATTCAGTAAAGGCAGGCAGACACTAATGAATGCTATATAAACGGAACATTTAGGGGCTAAGATTATCTTTAAGATACCGCAGGCTTGTATATAAAATGTTTACAACATATTTTTCTTTTTAGAGTTCCCATCATTAAAATCGAGGGACCTTTGATCATAGTACAGCTGCTGGAAACGACTCTTCTCACCTTGGTAAATTATGCCAGGTAGGTATCCCATTTATATTTTCCTCGTACTATCTGGAAATTTCCTAATACTGCCTCTTCTTGCCACCCAAAAACAGTTTAATGGCCACCAATGCAGCCCGTTATCGCATGGTAGCTGGCAAACATGTCAAACTATTGGAATTTGGACTGCGTCGTGCCCAGGGACCGGATGGCGGTCTTTCCGCATCGAAATATTCCTACACAGGTACTGAGCACCATCATAAAATATGAACTTTCACACGACCCAAACTCCGAAACCCACTGGGTTCTATAAAGCCGTGACAAGTAAGGTCAAACGTGTGCGATATAAACATTTTTTCGGCATTGCCAAATTGCATGCAGACAGCTCATTATCAATTAAAAATAATAGGGGAATGGGAATCGTCAGGAATTGGGCAAAGTTTGGTCACAGTTACCTTTTTTAGGGGCTTTACGTGTTTTATTCGAAAAGGGATAATGGCTTAAGAAGGTGTTTGTATAATCAGAACTATTAAAATTGGTTATTTGACAATCCTAGGGATCAGCTTGTTAATCAACTAATAAACTCATGACACAAAACATTTGTTTGTAGAATGCCATGTGATTAGTAAAATTATAAATTGAAATTTATACGAATGTTTGTCTAACCCATTTTACAGGGAATGTAGGGAGCCTATTAGCTACCATTTTAAGCATTGATCATTCCGAAGGGGGCAAAGTATGAGGAAATTCAGTGCTTTTCATATTGTTTTCTGCCTGACTTTTTATGATGTGCATGCATGCAAAGCACGTGTCACTGTCAGGAGCTGAGGCTCCACTGACTCTGATTTCCGATTTCCCATTTCTCAAGGCCCTCCCCAAACTATGAGTAATTCTCCGCCTTCACCAAGGCTTCCGCTTCTCCTCATCTAGTAGTTCCGCCACCCACCTTCTCCTCTTGCGACAAAGTTCAAGAACTCTTGTTTATGTGTTAAACTAAATGCGCCCCGAAAGCAGTAAAGTCCCTAAAGTGGGTGGCACACGCAACGCCCACGTAGGGTGTCCATGTATAAGGAATATCGGTGCCAGGTACACATCGAATCCGGACTCGATACTGGGAAAGGAGCCTCTGCTGCGGAGCCTTTCAATTGGCGCTCACACATCGTAACTTTTTCGGTTTCGTTCGTTAGGCAGGCAACGCTGAAAGTTTTTAATGCGTTCCACAATGTAGTTGGGCTATGGGTTTGGGATATATATTCCCTATATAGTATCACCCACAAATCAATGGATGGCTTCGCGTGGCGTCAAGGTTCCCGCCAAGGCCTTTTTTTTTGGCGGGTTGAATAACTGAAGGGAAAGGCTGCGAAATTGAAATGTTTATAGCCGGAATTTCCGCTCTTAATGGGAAAATTTAATGATAGAGTACCATTAAAGAGGTATTTAAAAGTTTGGAAGGTACTGCAGTAGGTAATTGTAAAAGTGGAATACACCATACTTTTTAAAATACATACCAGATATAATACTTTATTACTACACTTCTTAGGTGGCTTTGATGGCACCTCCAATGTGCTGGCTGGAAAGCTCTTCAACATCCCCGTAAAGGGAACCCATGCCCATGCTTATATCACTAGTTTTAGTAGCATTGGAGAGCTGAAGACCCGTCTGATTAAGCACAAGCAAACAGGTGAAGGATTACTGATATGACCCATCAAGAAAACCCATTGACATTCGAATATTTTGCAGGCATTATGGAGGATCTTTTGGAGCACGCTATCAAGCACCGGGGGTTGCTGTCCCATCTCCTGGACGTGTCCACTGAGGAATCCAGCGAGGGAGAACTGGCGGCGATGGTATCCTATGCCATCGCATTCCCCGATGGTTTCATGGCCCTTGTCGATACGTACGATGTTAAGAGGTATTTCGCTTCTAGGCAGATTCTCTCGGAACGGTTTTAGTTATCGGTTTTTCCTTCGTTTGTGTTGTAATACCCGTAACTCTCCCGGTTACCCTCTTTTTACCCCTGTTATTTTGAGTATGGATTTCTTTGATCTATTTTGTATTGTATTTGAGACTCTCGAGACGTGCACCAGCCAGATAAAAATACCCAAACAAGAGTAACTATTAAACAGCTAACCCAGTCAAGATTTACCATAGAAAATATCCCATACATTGACAAAGTATTCTTGAGTTTGTTTCTGCCACACCCCCAATCATTTCCCAATGTGAGCTTTTATTTTTGGTTTTTCGATTGAGTAATAATCCAAAGTATTATCCAACAGCCGAGAAACAGAACAAGCCAACACAGAACCCAAGATTATCAATGATATCAAGTCTGAGAACAGTCTGCCAAAGCCGAGGCCATCGACCAATGGTCATCAAAATGGCAAGTCTAATGGCCAAGTAAACGGACACAAGACCAATGGCCATCAGAATGGTATTGCTCAGAGTAACGGCAGTAGATCGCCAAAAGATACAAAGATACAAGATACTAAAAGCAGCACAACAACTACGACAACAAAAACAGCAACAACAACAGCAGCTTTAAAGACAACAACAGTGTCCAATGGGACGGCATACCTACCAAAATATGTCGAGAAGTCATTCAGGTAAATGTCGTTATCGAAAAAGACGTTTGAGTAATAGAAAAACAAAATTTGCATAGGCGAAAATTAAATTTAAAGAATTTATATTATCTATCTTTCCATTGTCATTTTTACTGACCTAATCATTTTCCATATCCTAATTTTTACCAACATTTTTCTTCTGCTTTTTAAAAGCTTTCAGTCTAACCTTATCGCTCATTTAAGCTATCATTATTTTCGGTAAAATATTACTAACTAGAGCTGGCAAAAACTCCGATTTCGGATTTGTTTTTAAATTTTCAAACTAGAAATCGATTTTTTGCTAACTCTTTTATTAATATATCATTTAATGCTCTAAATTTTTGAGTTTCCTAATGTAAGCCTGCATGCTAACATGGAGATATACTTAACCAAAATTTAGAAACAAAATTCAAAATTATAACCATCATATACATGCATACATATATATGTGCATATGTCTATGTATGTGTCCTCTGCTTTGGTGTTACAAAATTGGTCATCAAGTCATTTCCTATAATGGGGAACAATTCTGGCAAAAGAATAAAACAAACAAACCCAACCAGAACAGGTGAAGTCAATTCATTTAATTAGTTTTCTGCTTTCTCCCTCTTGCTTTCCTAACTTCCTTCTATGTATTATTGGGTATCACTATTTCTACTGACACATGCAACTATCATACTACATCTTTATCGTTTAACATTCTTTTTCTAACTCACTTTTGTTTATTAATTTTTTTATTTTTTCGTCCTAAATGTGAATGTGAAACAAGTTAAAACAAGATCATTAATCGAACCAAATCAGAAACCCATTATAAATCGAAAATGAAAAGAATTTACGAACCTAACATAGTATACAAATGACTTCCGGCACTATTTTGGCAGAGGTATGTAAAACACACGTCTTCAAGTTACAAACCCCAGCGATTCGAACAGTCAGCAACATGATATAAGCAACAACACTATAATATCATATGGCATACACTCACCCACTCGAAAGCAACAATTACGGCAACCAACAAAAGTTCATGCATAAACGATCAGCGATCCTAAAGCTCACACATAACAAGGTGCATAAAACAATTAAAAAAGTATACCAAAAAGTGCGATACAAAATGACATTATTAAATTTTTTACTAAAAACTAAATAATACTCCAGTTTGCTGTGTAACGATAAGAAAACTAATCAGATTTCTTGGATACCTTTTGAGTGACGTAAAGTAAAATACTGCTCTACACATTTCTGAATGTTTCAATTGTTCAACATTGTTTTAAGCACGAAAATGAAACCAAAAACCGAAACAAAAACACGCACTGACTCACCCTAATGCTGTCATAGACCTAACCCCGTTTTTATTGTCCTCGTCCCCGTTCACGAACAATTTGGTTTAAGTTTTACATTTTTTCGGACTTTAATTTTCCTGTTTTTCCGTCCCCAGTTTTGTATTGTCAAATATTTTCTCCTTAATCTAGAAATGTCCCTGGATATTTTCCAGAATATCTTTTCGTTAGTTTTTAAACCTGTACATACTTAAGAAAAAGCGTCCGAGAGAGCACACTGCATGGCTTGAAAACAAAAACCGAAAATCTTCGACATTTTCTGCTGCTCCCTAACAAGAAAATGATACAAATTTTCCCAGGCTGAATTTTCCAACACCCAGAGCCGCACTTGCAAATCGAAAAGAACTAATTTGGGTTCTCAAACACGTTTTCTTTAGCTCCACCCCACTTTCCGAACCATTTGTTTTTGTGTAATTCTCGCTTTAAACCTAGTGGCAAACAAAAAAACCAAATATTGTATAGCAAAATGAGAGAAATACTTTTGTTGAATTGAGAACCAAAAACCAAGCAGCACTTGATGGGGTCTGCAAATGCGATTACTGAACACCCGGTCCTGTTTTCTTCTCTGTAGGAGTGGTCTGCTGAACTTCAGTGCCGTGGCCTTGGCCCTGAACGACCTGGGCTACCATGCGCTAGGCATAAGGATCGACTCCGGGGACCTGGCCTATCTCTCCTGTTTGGCGCGGGAGACCTTCGAGAAGGTGGCGGAGCGGTTCAAGGTTCCTTGGTTCAACAAGCTGACCATCGTGGCATCGAACGACATCAACGAGGACACCATCCTCAGCCTGAATGAGCAGGGGCACAAGATTGATTGCTTTGGCATTGGCACGCATTTGGGTGAGTGTTGCTAGGTTTACAAGAAATGTAATATACTACTGCAATACTTTCCAGTCACCTGCCAGCGACAGCCGGCCCTGGGATGCGTGTACAAGCTGGTGGAGATCAACGGCCAGCCGAGGATCAAGCTGAGCCAGGACGTGGAGAAGGTGACGATGCCGGGCAACAAGAATGCCTATCGGCTGTACAGCGCCGATGGCCACGCCCTGATCGACCTGCTGCAGAAGGTATCGGAGCCGCCGCCGGCGGTGGGACAGAAGGTCCTGTGCCGCCATCCCTTCCAGGAATCGAAGCGCGCCTACGTGATACCCTCGCACGTGGAATCTCTGTACAAGGTGTACTGGAAGGCGGGCAAGATCTGCCAGCAGCTCCCCACCTTGGAGCAGGTGCGGGAAAAGGTTCAGATCTCGCTGAAGACGCTGCGCAACGATCACAAACGCACGCTCAACCCAACGCCCTATAAGGTGAGTAGTTTGCCTATATACCCGAAACGATATGACCATAGTAATGATATCTCCAATCGCCTTCAGGTGGCCGTCAGCGACAATCTGTACAACTTCATTCACGATCTGTGGCTGCAGAACGCTCCCATCGGCGAGCTCTCATGATCTATATAAGGAGGATCTCACGATCTATTCGCAGATGCGCGAAAACATTTCCGAGAAATTTACTTTTGTTTGGTGTACAACTTTCTGTTTACTGCGTTTTTCGCAAACCTTAGTCATCTGCTGGTCACATGCATTATAGAATTGGAATTTGTTCTGTCCCACGAAGATTATCCGTAAATATGGAGCACAAATTCCAACGGAAACTGGCGAGTGAATTTCAAAACATTGTGTAGTCAATAGTCTTAACGTGTTATAACTAATATTTACTGCTATATAAAACGCACATCATATTCAGGAATGTGTCATGTGCCTTAAACGGAAACGGAAAAAGAATCAGGATGCAAAGGAAACACAAACCCAAAAACGAGTAACTATGATCAACCAAAAATCGGAGCGGAGTAAAGATGTCTTTAATATTTTTCTAGTACTTAAGTGTTGAAATGTTGCTAACGAAGAAGGAAAGTTAGAAGTACAAATGCTTTTTAGGACATTTGCACGCAATAAGGCACACATCCAGCACACACCTAACTATATATATATATTATTAGATACCATACTTTACATACTATGTTTATGTATTTAACTAAATTCAATTGTAAATATGTTCAACTGGATAACTTTAAGCCAACTAAGCAATAACACACCCAACACACACCGCCACCTCTAAATGATCGCTTCTTAAAAATGTTTGCCTGTAGTTTTGGTCGAAAATAAAAAGTGGAAGAGAGCCGAGCATCATCCTGTTTTTCAAGTTGGTGGTTTTGGGTATGGTTTTATAAAAACATTGAGAAGGAACTTTAATGTTAACAATGTTTGTATAATCTTAGAGAATTTATTTATTGGAATATTCTTTGTTTCCAACTAGACAGTGTTGTCCAAACTGCAAATGAAATTAAAAGCAAACCAACACGGCCAATCAGCCATTCCTTTTCTGAGAGCAATGCCAACGCAGTTCTCGTAGTTCTCTCTGTTGTCGGGATCTCCGGCAAACCATTTAAGAAATGGCGCCATATTTCCGGAAGCCTCAGATAGATAGACCCCTTCAACGCTTCTATCGTTTATGCCCAGCCAGTAACGATGGTTTTCCTTGAGTTTCAGTACGACGGCATCGAACTCTTCTTGATTTTGGATGGCTGCCAAGTATCCTCCTTTTTCTAGACAGAAGAATTTTGCATCAATCCAGCTTTTCTGTATTCCTTCTTCGATATAGAAGTATCGGGCTCCGATCCGTTCAAATCCTGGTGGGATAATGTTCGTTTTCGGTGCCTCAGTTACTACCGGTCTTCTCTCGATCATGGCCTCAATTCTGTCCAGTCTTTCATTCGTTTCGAGTTTTATTTGATCCAGAAACATAAGCATTTCCTTTTGAACCTCCTGGGTATTTTTTTGCATGGTGTCCAGAATCGCTAGAGTTGTTTTGTGGTTTGTAACTTGCAACTTAATTTGTTTCTGGATACTTTCGATTTCATCACCCAAAGGTTGAAGTACTCCAAAACAGTAAGCCCCACATTGCGATGGGGCATCCTTCAGGACACAAACCGAACAGGTCTCATCCTGGGACCTAACTATTCCGTAAAGATTGCACGCAACAAGGGCGGACAAAAAAAATGTTCCAAGCTTGTGCATTTCGGGACTGCAAAACCATGGAATGAAAAAGATGCCAAAAGACTGATTTTGGGTACGAGTTTTCCAATTATATATGCTTCCCAAACATACTATACAAATAATTATATATATATATACAAAAATTTATTATTGGGCCACGCGATTAAATTTAAAAAAAGATAGCATTCTGAGAACTAAACCAAAATGAATAATAAACATAATAATAAAATAGCACACGCTTTCAGTGGAATTAAATCGAATTAAATTTATATTTAAATTATTTTCGAAAACAAAACGACAATGTGTAGGTATACATTGTTAAGGCACACGTGAAAGTAAAATATATATTTATGCCATTCCATTCAATAAATTAACAGAATCAAATCTATAAATTTTTTATCAATTTTCAGAGGAAATGATCGCACTGAATTTAAATGGTTTCTAAGAAAAAGATTTTAAACTTCATTATCACTCTGACAAATTAAATACCGACTTTCGGAGCACGGATGATCGTTCATGCCGCCATTATCAAGTTCAACGCAGTACTCATTTTGTTTCGCGTTGTTTGGTTCCCTAGGGCGCCACTTCAAAAATGGATTTTTCTTGCCGGATGCCTCAGACACGTAGATTTCAGGATTATCCCTATTGTTGATCCCCAGCCAGTAACGTTTGTCACCTAGTTTCGCCGCAATGGCGTCCAATTCCTCTTGGTCCTTAATGCTGGCTATATAGCCACCCATTTCGCGACATTTTTTTCCAGCCTGAAACCAATCCTGATTACTTTCACTATCGATGTAGAAGAGTCTGGAACCGATTCGCTGAAACTTTGGCCAAAAAACTTTGTTGTAAATTTCGGAAACGGTGTCCAAAAGTTTGGCCTGCTGAGTCTCCATCTTCGTCAGCATATCCTTCTGATTATTTTCCATTCTTTCAAAGTCCAAGGGGACTTTCTTTAAAGATTCCTGTAACGATGCAATGGTATTCTGGAAGTCCGTCTGCTGATTTTGTATCGCCATTAGTCTGTCCGCGATGTCCTCTGGAACAAATTTAATTTTTTAAGTTTTAAAGAAGTATTCCCTCTCAATTTTCATCTTACTCTGCTTGACTTCCAGGGTTGTGTCCAGATCATCAAAAACATTGCATTTGCTTTGCCTCGCAATATGATCAAGCAAAGGTAGCATTTTTACCATCAGTTGATTTGCCGGGTCTTGTGGAACTGTAGACAAGTCGGCATCTAAGGATTTTGCCTGGGTCCCATATGAAGTCCAGGCAAAAGTCACGATCGAAAAATAAATTGCCACTTTGAACATACTGAGCGCGTAGAACAACAAGTGGCGAACGATGCCAACGAACTGAATATTCTTCACTAAAGTGGACCGCATTTATATTCGTCTTGTGTATATACCCAAAACACTGGGAAATGCTTTCTTCTCTGCATTGACCACATATATAGCCATAAGCAAGAAGAAACAATGTTTTGCGAGAACACAATTTGTATATGCTCTGATTTTTATTTAAATTAAATCGTGTCTAAAATTTTGTTTATTAATTAGGTAATTAGGGTAAAGAGTTTCCTGGACTCCTGTGGTTCGATATTTTTTTAACAGATTCTACTCGTTATAAATATCAAAGAAACATATGTGTATAAATTTTCTTATACACCTCTGTTGTGCAAAACGATTAATATTTTAGTTTTGAGGAACATAATAAATGTCAATGAGATATTTACAGCGGTCTCTGGAAAAATGACCATTTCACAGAATGTGATAAGTAAATGCTATTGCTATGTAACAGAACAAGAGAACTAACGCCTGCCTGGCTAAGGAATAAATAATTCAATTAATTATGTAATGTATTAATGTATTTCTCTTTAAAAAGAACAGCAAAAGTTCTGCAAAAAATATAGTGAACAGCATTGTATTAAGCTACAAATCAAAGTTAGTTTGGCAAATTAGAAACTTCTCTTTGGAGCACGGTTCATCGTTCATCTCGCCATTCACAAGTTCAACGCAGCGCTCGTCGCTTTCACCGTGGTTGGGTTCCCCGCTTTTCCACTTTAAAAATGGAGCTTTTTCTCCGGATGCGTGGGATATGTAGACCCCAATGCTGTCTCGGTCGTTGATGCCCAGCCAGAAGTGCTCGCCACCCAATTTCGCCTTAATGGCGTCCAACTCCTCTTGGTCTTTGATGGAGGCTATAAAGCCATCCATTTCGCGACAGGTGTTCACGGCTGTAAGCCAACTGTATGCATTTTTGCGGTCGATAAAGAAAAGACTAGAGCCGATTCGCTCAAACTTCGGCCAATAGACTTTTGCGTAAATTTTGGTAAGAGTGTTCATAAGTCTGATCTGTTGAGCCTCCATCTTTTTCTGCATATCCTTCTGATTGTTTTCCAACCTCTCTAGTCTTCCCTCCAAGCCCTCCGGAATTTTCTTTATATTTTCCTGTAATGCTGTCAGCCTCTCCTCGAAGTTTTCTGGGATGGTTTTCCTAAGAGCTTCCAGGTGGGATTTCTGATCTTCTAATTGAGCCCCAAGGGACGTCTGTTGATCTTGCACTCTGCCTAGTTTCTCCTCTACATCAAGTGGAATTTTCTTTACAGTCTCCTGAATAGATGTCTGCTCTTCCTTAATTTTGCCCAGCATCTCCGCAAAGTTTTCCGGGACGATACTCTTAAAAGTCTCCGCCAGGGACTTTTGCTGCTTTTCCAGATTGATCTGCACTTCCAGTTGCGAACCCATTGACTTTTGAATGTCCGTCTGGTGAGCTTCCATTCTGGTTAATTTATCCTGAAAGTCCTGGGTTAGGACTTTCTTCAGGGTATCCCCCAGGGATATGGCTTGCCAGTCCAACTTGGTCTGTATTCTGTCCAGTTTGGCTTGGGTGTCGTTCAGTTGTAGGGCGTCGGAGGTGTTCCATTGCTCCTGGTGCTTGGAAATGTGACCCAAAAGGGGTTCCAGCACCGAGAGACAGAACTCCCCGCACTGATTCGGCGGATCTTGCAGCAGGCATACAGACCGGGCGTTATCCTGAGATTCCGATTGGCATCCACACAGATTCCACGCAATTAATAAATACATAATATAGGTTTCGATCCTGAACATGATGAAAGTTTACATCCGCAGGCATCGAGGAATTGAAACGGACTGATTCTGGATTTATTTGTTTGAAGAGCTCTCAAGTCGATAAGAACGGAGCATCCAATTAAGTCGCATACTTACAATGTTAATATCTTGCCTCTTCGGGAACTTTCATTTGCTAGTTTTTATCTTCATTTTCTATTGTGGGCAAATCAACTAAATGAATTGTGCTTTCCAGACGATTCCTCTTATCTCAATTTGTTCAATACGTCGTAAAACAGTTTGAAACACATTTATGAATTAAAGAAAATCTTTTTTCGCAATCTTTTTGTTCGTGTTAGTTTAGTTAGCTTTAATAAAGACAGTTATAAGGACTACTCTTTGAAGTTTAAATTTGGCGCGCATAGTTTCTTCTTCCTTATTTGGCGTTGCCAGAAAATGTAAGTTAGTGGTCTGATTTGATTGCCATTCACCTTTGTTAGGCGACATTTGCTCTCTGAACATACGCCCATCGTTAATCGAAATCGGATGGTCGGCTATCGATAATAAATAAACACAATAACTGCAATAAAATAAATAAATAGAAATTTGAACAAAAAAATTGTGGAACAAGCAAAAACTACCGAAATTTCGAGAAGGGGTATCCAAATTATCAAGTGGAAGATATTTCCCGAGAGGAACGGCCACGATTTCCCCAAATTTTCCCGCAGCTGCGCAACTTGCCGAGAAAAACAACAACAACGGTGAATCATTGAGCCCGAAACAAGAAGTTGTGCCCGTTGGAAATTGATTTTTAACCATATTTTCCTTGCAGATCGATAGAGAAAATCATGGAGGGCGACTCGGAAAATCGAAAGGATCATGTCCTCGAACGCCTGAACAAGCGGAACAAGGACCGGCAGAACTATTTGGATGTGAAGTCGGAGCAGCGCTCCAAGGAATCGGTGCAAAACGAGGGCGTTGACTACTTCTCCTCGACTTTTACTCAAAGGACCTTAGATATTGAGCAGGGCCTGAAGGATATACAGTGTGCCGAGGGCCCGGCCAGCGATTTGGCCCGGAATTTCGCCGACATAACCCTGGAAATCCAGGACTTGCAGCGGTATCTCACGGCATCCACCATGTTCCTCTCCGATTTCAAGATCAAATCCTGTCAGAACGTCCTGAACACCCTGACTTCAGTGAGTGATGAAACCCGTCAGCGCCTGATGCCCAAGAAAAAGTTCGGTTTCAGTGGCAAAAAGACTGCCGCAAAGCAAAAACCCAACGCAAATAAGGACATAGTCGATGCCAAGCCCAGCAAGATTCCGGAAAAACTGGGCTCTAACTTCAGCTGGACCATTGAAAATCGAAAGAACGAGCATATAGTCTTGGATTCCAGTCAGGTTAATGGCCAGGATATTACAATTTCGAATGTTAGCCACTGTTTAGTGGAACTGCAGGGACATCCCGGCTCCGTGCAGGTGTCCCGGGCCTCAAATTGCACATTGTTGTGCGGCCCCATTGCCAGGTCCTTCTTCGCCGAGAACCTGGACGAGTGCACCCTCTCCATTGCCTGCCAGCAGCTGAGATTGCACTCTTCGCGGGGCATTCGCATATATCTCCATGTCACCTGTCGGGCCATCATCGAGGATTGCAAGGAAATTGAGATTGGCGAGTTTAACTACGATTATCCGGAGTTGGAAGCCGACTATCTGGCCTCGGGCCTGAATAAGTCCCAGAATAACTACACGGACGTGGCCGATTTCAACTGGCTTTCGCCGGATGTGCCCTCGCCGAACTGGAGCCTGCTCAAGGACCATCCCGATCCGAATTGGAATGCCTTGCGGCGGGACTTCATCGCCAATAGTAACAACAACAACGGACACAAGCAGGATGTCAAGGACATCTCCATCATTTAGTGGCGGCATCGGCGGCTGCTCCTTGGCTGGCTGGCCTACGGTGTTATCCTCGGTTGGCTGCTCTGGGAACTGCTGCTAAGGGCCCCAATTACTGGGCCCAAGTCTAAAACCCCTCGATCTGTGTAAATAGCTTTAAGCGTGTTGATTAAATAACCATTGTATTGATTTCTTAGCGGTTTTAAATTTTTTGGGTGCCGGGTTATTTTAAATGTTACACTAGTATAGTGTATCTTAAATAGTAGATAACTTCTAAAATGTTTTCCCCTTTAAGAAAAAATCGATTTTATAATAGTTGTAGTTACTGCTGTAAAGTCATACCTTCTCGGCATATAAGTAGTTTATGCTGGTCTTTGTGCAGGGGGAAGTTAAAGTTCGAAATGGGCAACACACATGTATCTGTTCTTGTTTATATGTCCCGGCTAATTTGACATGTCCATTTCGGATGTGGCATAATCAGTGGTTGGCCAAAATGGCTGTGGCTGCCGCACAACTTACGGAGTGGGAGGACGACAGGACCTCATGCAAGTTTCATGTGGCCACAACAGGACCTCTCAAGTCGCCATATTGACGATGCCACTCTACTTGTCTTACAGCTTCGCACCACAAAGGCACTTTTATTAGAGCTGCTTAATTGTTTAAGTCAAGATTAAAAACATAGCTTGGAAAATATTTAGAACTTATCAAGGAAGTACCAAAATCATTAATGGATTAAATGGTAAATTTTGTATACTCTATATTCTCTTTATTTTTGATTTCTTTTATATTTTATTTGTATATCCTGTTAACATCGAATATCAGATTAAACTTAATTTGTACTTTATTATTGATATTTTTAAGTGTATCTGCTCTTCGCCTTTCTCTAACGGTTAATCGCTTTCTCTCATCCCGTTGACTTTTGCGGCTGTCAACATGGCCGACTGTCAAAATAATTAACGAATTCGAGTAACAGGCGGTAAAGGAGGGGATGTATCCCATTTATATGTACCTTCGTATATATCCCAGTGGTGTAGAAAGGGGAATGAATTGGAGACATCTCACATTAGCGAGGTAATTGAACTGCAAATTACACGAATAGCGGTGATGTTGCGAGCAGGAGAAAGGCAATAAGGCTACTGTCAGATTGAGGTTATGTAATAAACTGTCAGTTCTGAAGATTTTGAAAAAATGGTACAGTAAAAAGAGATGATGGAAAAATGTAAAAGTGCAAACCAACAAAAGGTGAAGTTAGAGAATGCAAGGAAAACCACGGCAGTTACAGGATTTCCACATTTCTTTCTTTTGCCCCCAAAGATCTAATCAACATTGCGGTCTACGTTGCATTTCTTTCTTGTGAATGTGAAAAGGTAAAAACAAGAAACTACAACATAAAAATATTTAAAGCTTATAGAAAACGGTCAAACAAAAACATCACTATTATTATAATATCTTATTAAGGCTAATTGCTATTTTATAATCGCACTCAAGAATGTATCAATTGGTGGACAACATTTAGTAGTACATATGTATGTACATAAATTTCCAATCTTCAAGCTTCATTCCTGTTGTGAAGAATCTCGTAATCAATTTAAAAGTTGATTTCATGTACTCTTTTTTGAATGTATTCGGATTATAGACCTAATCTTTTTTATTTCTTTCAGACTGGTTCTAATTCGGTTAATATTTCTGTTGCAACCGTTTTTAATAAGATAGTTTGGAAATCTCTTCGATATATGAGTTCCAGATGGTGTTTTTTTGAAAGCTTCGGTCTTTAGTGGCTGCAATTTCCGTTTATTCAAATGAACCGATGCACTATCAAATTAATTGCTTTCACACTTGAACAGTGTTGGTAATTCCGAACACACACGCACACCTGCGACACACACACACTGACGCACTCACACGCACACGTGGACAGGTGCATCTGGGGCTGCCACATTTGCATAGCTCACAATTAGTTTTCTCATTATCGCAGATAATATTCGCCGCATTTGCGATAAGACCGAGACCCCAACAATGCTGACCGCCTCCACATTAATATTATCGCAGTGCCCGTAATTGCCTGTCCCTCTCACACTTTGATGGTTTCAATTACTGCAAAATTACCGAGCCGCGCCACCTTCGCCTTAAATCCTTCCTCGCCTCCCGACTTCCAACTTTGACCCACATGCGATCCGCAAATGCCTTTGTGTGCGGATTTTATGGCTCAGCTGATGTGGGCTACGATGCTAATTTACGCATTTAGTTAAGCGGCCCCCACTCAAAGGCCTAAGGTCACAGAGGGCTTTCTACCTTTCTTGGGGGGATATCAGGAGTTTGGAACCGTATTATACTTTCTTTTAAAAATATCACTTATACGCCATGTGATACCTAAGATAACGGGTGCATCCTTGACGTAATCAACAAAAATATACAAGTTTTATGACTGGTTACAATGGGTTTTTACATTCCCAAATCACAAGGGGTGGGCTTCTATCTTTGGAGGAATATCAGGAATTTTAACCATATTTTATTTTGTTGCAAATATCACTCATACGCCATGTAACCCATTGAATAAAGTGCATCTCTTGAAGTAATAAACAAAGTTTTAAAAAAAATAATTGATAGATTATTATAGGTTCCTAAGTTCCAAGCTGCATTTCATAAAATGCATTAGTCATAAAACAATGTGTGTCTGTAAACTGTAGAAAATAATAAACCAAAATCTTTACAAAAATCACACCACTTAAGAGCATGCGAATTTATATTTATGAGGCATCTTCAAGATTTGTTAAATATTTTTAAAACGTTATACCCAAAATAGGTTTTCAGATTTGAGAAAGTGCAACAAAGTCAAATCTTTCTTTCCTCCAAACATAGGAGACTAATTACTGAATCGGCTCTGTCATTTCTCACAACGCTTTCTCAACGGAAACCTTTAAAAACTCTTTCCGATATTGATAAGCGCAAGAACGTTGATTAATTAAGCGAATTACGGGAGTCATGCAGTGCAATTAAAATGTCAGCGCAGCCACAGAGTGTCGGAGATGTGTGTGTGTGTGTATACATCCAATATATACGAGGATGGTAGGCTCCTGGGCAAATGTCCAGGATTGGGGTTATGCAAGGCTCCTTCTGGCCTTTTTTATTCGCAGCTTGTCTCGCTTTTTTCTACCCTTCCCGCTGCGAATTCCCACGAATCGCGAATCTGCGCTCTGCGTGTGCAGCTCAAATTGTAATTAATGATGCAAGACAGCCGGCAGTCCCTCCTGTTTCACGCCCAGATCCCCCACAAAATCCCCCCTGCGACCACAGTCGGATCCGAACCGAAAATCTCTGCCAGGCCTTGTCATCCCGGGCCGCCCACCGTGTGGCATCCGCCTCCCCTGGCTGTGGGTTTTATTCTACCCTATAAAAATCATGCTATCTTTATTTTATGACATTTTTGAAAGAACACCTTACCGGGAGTTGCGCAGAAGCCAATAGGTGGTTTGAACTCCCATCCTAAGACGCCTAGAAGTATGCAAGAAACTACAGAATTCGCTAGAGCAAGGGATAATGCTATTTTGTATAGCATACTCTTAGGCGTTTCTTCAAGCGGTTTAATAACTTTTGTGGTTTCTTCGTTTTTTCAGATAAACTTTTTAATCATTTTTATATTTCCATAAAACGCTAGTGCAACTAAATATTTTTTAAATATTTTTAAAGTTTGTAACTTAATGCAGTACTAGCATTATTTTTTTAGGGTATTCCCATCTTCGGCCAACCATACCACTCCCATTCCGCCTGCTGTTTGTTTACTTAAATCATCGACGCGGTGCGCGTTTTAAACGCGTTTCTCATGCTTTTCGTGTAAATAAATGAAAAGTTCGTTTAATTCTCGTCGATTCTTTATGCGTTGAACAAGAGTGGTAAAGGGGCGTGGGCTGGGAAAGGGGAGCGGTGGAGGAGGGGGCGTGGCCTGGTATCGTTTACTTTGGAAATGAAAAATTATGATTACATCAACAATAATCGAAATGCGCTTGTAAGCTGCTCTGTTTTGTCTCTCTCTGTCCCTCTTTCCTGTCCCTTTCTCGATCCCTTCTTCCGTCTCGCTTCCCCTTGCGATTCCGTTCTTGCTTTCCGCACTCCAATCTTACACTTGGAAAAACACTTTAATTTCAATGCAACTTAGTTAAACTGTAGACTAAAGCGAAATATAAGTGGAAATCTAGTCATTAAATACATCAATAAAAAGTTATAGTTCAAAATCATTTTTAAAGATTATTTTTTATTTCGATTGTAATAATGAGAAATTTGGAAATCTAGGCTTATATGTATATATTATGAGGCATCCTTAGTGTGATTTCTAAACGTTATTGACACCCAGGATAATTTCAAATACATGAACAAATTATAGTCCATCCGTTAGAACGTTGCATGTATTATCTCCCAAAAACAAATTTAAAATTCAACTATTTCTCCCAGTGCATAGCTATCTTTTGGCTGGCTCCCTCATTCCAGCTTTTTTATTATTTTTGTTGCCGCTGCTTGCCATTTTCGTTGTGCTATGCTCGTTTTGGCCATTTCTCTTCGTTCCCGTTGCTGACTTGCAACGCTTTCATGCGTGGCATTCGAGGGTGGGAAGGGGGTCCTGTAGGAAGGGGGGGAGTAATGTAAACGTTCAATATTTGTGTTCAAAGTAAAAAATCGAGACGTTCCCTGCTCTTTCTGCCCCTTTCCTTCCGCTTTCCCCACTTTCTCCGATGCCAAGCAGCGACGCGTTCAGCCAAAAAGTATGCAATGCAAAATCGAAAAAATGCGCGTGGCAGCACCTCAGCTTTCAGCTTTCGGCTTTGGCATCAAGCCCCCAGCCTGCATCTCTCTTATCTGCCGGGGTTCCATATTTCCCCCTGATTTCCCCACCTCACGGTGCACTGGTAGAAAATGGGTGCTACAAAGAAAATTAAGTCTGTGGACTTAATAACTTTCCATAAGGTGTCTAAAAGTAGGCAACGCTTTATTTTTAGTTCGGAACTGCAGTGTATTATCGGTTACCAGCAAGGTTCTTTGATTTTGATACTAAGAAATATTATTTTTATTCATCTTTGCTAAATTTAAATTAGTTTAATTACTAATTCATAAAAATAATTGTTTAAATTTGATCAAATGGAGGAAAACAAGTGTTTATCGTGACAAACTTAAATTAATTTTAACTGATTAGTCATTTAAGACATTTTAAGAATACATATGTCTAAGAGTACGTTAATACGATGCCAACATAGTCCTTTCAAAGCATACTATTGGACACCTTTTTAGGAGGTCTTAAACCCTTATAGGATTTTTTGGCACCCCCAAACCAAGAGCATTTTTTTCTGTGATCGCTTTCTTTGGTCGGGTCTGAGCCATGCTTATAAATCAGCGACGTCTGGGAACGGCGACAGGCGTTTGCACCCGGCCCCGATTTCCAGCCACCCATTTTCTTCAACAATGCCAAGCCAGACACAAAACACAACAATTTTTGTTGCCTGCATTGCGGCGCCTCTTTGCGCCCCATACTCATCCAGTATTTCCCTATATATAGTACCCCCAACATCCAACACCCATCCATCCCCCTCTTATCCCCACTTTTGGGTTGGCTGCACTCGGCATTATGCTTTGCGTATTTGTCGCTTTATGAAGTCATCTTGGCGTAAAAGCAAATTTATGACCAACTTCACTTTATTTCTGTCAGTTTTTGGCCCAGCATAAAGATGGCCATCTTTTTGCCACTGTCTCCTTCGCTATCTTGTCGCTCTGCTTCTTTATATCTGGTTTATAAACTCCCGAGAATTGTGCATTAGCATTAGCCGGGGGATGTGTCAAATGGCGTGTGTATTCCCCAAAAATATATTCCCTAAAAAGGGTATTGGATTTTAAAGGTCTTACATTTTAAGCTGATAATAAATATCTGAATAGGTTATATTTTAACTTATATCGATTTTTTATAGCCAAACTTTAAATATGGTTTTAAATAAAATAAATTTAAATGCTCCACTCTGCTTCTGTGGTGGCAAAGACTATGGCCGCTTAATCGGAAGCTACCGACCGCTACTTTATAACTGATTAGAACGATTATAATACATTTTAGAATATCTGCCTGCAGCTCAGAGGTCTAAAAATGAAAAACTGTGGACTATCATGCTTGGAGCTGATAACAACGAGCTCCCGCAATCACTCTGAAATATATATTTTTTTATTATAATTTTAGTTAATCTATATTTTTTTGAAGCTGACAAGGACGGTGGGAAGCTGCCCATCGCTGATTTATAGCTAATAACAACGATCGTTTTTTTTTTCTAAGAAGTACAAATTCTACTTCGAACTCAGGGGTCTATAAAAACCTGAACAAACTATACTTTGCCATCAGTTCCCTTTAAACTCGCTCTTAAAATGTTTAATCTCGGAAGTTATTTTTTGATTGCAATTATTGCCTGTAATCTATATGAATTGCAGACAAAATCCTTGGATCGCGACCTTCCTGAAAGTGTAATGAATACTCCGGCGAACCAGCTGTGGGTAAAAATGTTACCATTCTTCAATTACGTTGCCAAGGAGAGCAAATGCTATATCACAAGAGACCTCCAGAAAATCCAATCAGCAATGCAGAGTAAGTTTAAAGTTCAGTAGGTACATACTAAGAAAAATATTAAAGAATTATAACTTTTCAGAGGATAATCAGGGGAGACTAAGCAGAATAGAGAGTCAGCAGACGGAAATCCAGGAGAATCTGAAATACCTGCTGGAAATACTTAGGAATAACATCCCGGAAAACTTTGAGGAGAGGCTGGTCAGGATGGAGGAGCAGCAGACATCTTTACGAGGAATTCTTAAGAAAATTCCACTTGATATCGCGGAGAGACTAGGCAGAATGGAGGATAAACAGAAGTCTCTTGGGGCTCAATTAGAAGCTCAGATCAACGCAGAAAAGGAACAGAAATCCCAGCTGGAAGGATTTAAGAAAACCATCCCAGAAAACTTTGAGGAGAGGCTGACCAAGATGGAAGTGCAGCAGACATCATTGCAGGAAGCTCTTAGGAGGATTCCAGAGGACTTAGAGGGGAGAATGGATCGGATGGAGAAGCATGAAACCGATATACAGAAGGACATACAGACCAGGATGGACACTCAACGGGCCGCACTTCTGGACACCCTTTCCCTCAATTTTACAAAGATCGTTCGGCCGCAGTTTGAGCCAATCGGCTCCAGATTTTTCTACATCGATAGCAAGTATGCATACAACTGGAATACAGCGGTGAGTACCTGTCGCGAAATGGGTGGCTATATAGCCTCCGTTAAGGACCAAGAAGAACTGGATGCAATCACGGCGAAACTGGATAATAAACGCTACTGGTTGGGCATAAACAATCGAGCCAGTAAGGGGAACTACCTGTCAGAGGCATCCGGAAAGAAAGCCCAATTTTTAAAGTGGCGAAGTGGAGAGCCCAACAATATGGAGGGCAATGAGAGATGCGTTGAACTTGTTGACGGCGAAATGAACGATGATATGTGCTTCCGAAATCTGCATATTATTTGCCAAAGCGACAATGAAGTTTAGCTAAAAAATTGATAAACATTCTATAAATAGAAATAAAAAATGTAAGCATTTTATTTATATTCTTTCAATTTAGTTTCATTTACCAGACTTTCGGCTATACCTGTTATATCTATGTATATCGTGTAGTCGCTATTGTTTATTTAGGAATACAATTTTAATTTATTTCTAGAGGTAACGTCCATTTAATCTTAAAAATTTACTTGACTAGACTGGAATCTTAATATCATGTAAGTTCTACTGAAAGCGTACTGCTATGAATTTTTTGTTTTTAATTTTAATTGAATTTTAAGAATGTTATATACGTATTTTTATATTTCTCGTGTATCCCATTAATCTTTTTTTATATACATTAAATATATAATAAATTAAGATTATTCAAAGTCATGCTGGAGAGCTGATAAGAACGATGACGACGGTGGGGATTTCCTCTGAAGTATAATTTAATTTCGATTGTTTTAAATTTCAAATGAATTTAATGTATGCTTTTGTTTGTGTGTGATTATTCAATTGAACCTTGAGAAACTTACTTTCGTATATATATGACATTACCCATTAATATTGACATTGAATCCAATTTTCAAGTCTATAGAAAGCCATATTTCCATCAATAGTATTGATTTTGACAATTTTGACACCTTCAGTCGAGATCCTCAGCATGTCAACTAACAACTTTTTTGATAATGAAAAAAACGTTCAAATTCAAGCTGGAAACGCACCATGTTTTCGTATGTCAAGGAAAGGGTATTATTTTTAAAAAATGCATTAGACGTTTAGTAGTTCATTAACCCTTTTTTTTAAAGATTCCTTTGAATGCCAAGGGATAGCCGTAACTTAAAAAACAAGAATAATGAAACTTTAAGTATTTTATTTACGTTTCTTCCTTACCTTAATTATATACCTTTTGCTGGATGTAAAAACATCATAAGGTGAAAGTTTGTTGTTCTTTAGGCAAATGCAATTTGACTGTGACATTTTCTCTGAATAAACTGTCAGCTTTAAAGGTTCTCCGAGCATTTAATTGGTTTGGGTTTTAATTGCCCTTTTTAAGAGCTGCAGAACCATTTGCACGTCCATTGTTTGACATCTCGCTGCATAAAGCCCGATAAGGCTATATCTTTCCGCATATATTCGTATTTACAAAACTCGCACAAAGGAAGTCTGATATCCTACTTAAGCGGGCAGCGAGGCATTTTCATTTTCGCCGGCATTTGGTGCAATTGTCAGGCCAATTACGGGGCCACAATTATGCCGTATGAGCACATAAAAACCGGATACGCTGGATAAGTCGCTTTGTTCCGGAGTCGCCGACCCTTGGGCCGTAAAACTCTTAGCCCTCAGGGGTTATCATCAGATGGCCCCAGACCCTGGGGTTGACCTCGAAAGTTACAGCGAACTGTATGCAAACAGTAAATGAAAAGTCATGAAAATAGGGAGGGTATATATTTCGAGGGTATATAGCAGGAAAAGTCAAGGGAATTTCGGGAAGAAACTGAGTCGGGACGAGGAGCGAAAGCTGCAAGTCGGCCGAAAAAGTTATCAGCTTGTTAATTGCTTAACTTTTTCACTTCAACTTTTTTTATTCGTTTCGAGGAGCTGAAACGCGTCCCGAAGATAAAACCAAAACTGAAGGAAAGGTTGCAGGGGCCTCGGTGAACTTACAGAAAGAGATGCAAATTTGGCTGCACTCAGGAAAATGTTTTGTTAATATTTCGATAAAGTGAGAATGTTGGTGAAATACCTATTAATCACTTTAAAATTTCTTTTTGGACACCTTTTTCAAGAGATTTGAAAACCCAAGTCATATTAAGTTCAACCAAAGCTGACCCATTTGCCCTCAGTGTAGTATCTCTTTCTCTTTTGGTCGAACAACCATTTTTATTTTTTTTGCCCTTTCACAGAAATTTAAATGACAAATGGCAGAAGGCGACTGCAACTTTGACCCTTTCCCTGACCCCTCTTGGACTCCCTCCCTGTGACATTTGCTTATCGGACGCTTACAATGTCATAACACAGCCTCCAGAGTAAAGGAAGTTTTCCCCAAAAAAGAGGAAAAAATCAGACAAATGGAACTTTGCCCTCCTCTAATCTTGTGACAGGCCAAAAGCAGCTATACAACCGGCTCCTGTAATTAGGGTAGAGTTTCGGGGGAAAATGGGAAAGATGAAAAATCAATGCAGACCCAGGCCACTAAAACTCTCATTACTCATATGCCGTGAAGGTTAAACTGGGTTCTGGTTCTCTGACCATAAAAAAGACATTAAAACCATTTAAAAGTTGCCCTAATCTGTGCAGCCAAAGGTTAACTTTCCGTATAAATATATATGTATAGGTATATAGACAGTGTTTTATGACTTTTGGCCCGCCTCGCTTTCTTCGCTGTTTTATTGGCCCGCCCAAATTGATTAAAAGATCAATGATTATGTGCCCGTTTAATGGTTCACTGCATTTAATTTAATTTTTTTGCTTTTAATTTTAGTTGAGATTTTCACAGGTCGTAATCTAGAAGGGGGATTTTGGGTGGATGGAAGTCCAAAAGGAAATTAAAAGAAAGAAATTACTTTGGCACAATGAAGGATCCGCAAAGAGTTAACTTTTATTTGCCGCTATTAAGAGGTTTAGTAATCTTGTAAATCTCTTTAAATGGATATTGCTTTTGATGGGATATTTTTATAATCTATCCTAATGACAAAGTACAATAAACTATGACTTATTACCTTTTTATATCACACTTTGATTTTAACATAAAGTGTAATTAAAGTTATTAAATTTTTATATTTGGATACAACATTTCGTTAAAAAAATAAAAGTAAGGGAATAACATTTTCATAACGCTTTTGCAGACTTATCCTCCCAAGCCAAACTAATTGTTCCCGCACTCGGAATTCCCTCCAAAAAAGGTAACACTTTTCCAACTATTTTGATGGCTTCATATGATGACTCACGTAGCTGAAGAGTAAAAGTTGGAGAAAGTATTATCGCAGCATTAAGAGATACCGACGAACCCCTTTCAGAACTTGACTCCAACTTAAAATTTGAGCTTTTCCCCAAGAAAAACAATGAGCATATAGATAAAGAAGAGCATTGGTCTTTTTCTAGAAAAAAAGAAAACCAGTGTGAAATGCAGACAATTGCGATAAATGCGATGGGGGAAAACGGGGGAAAGTGTTTGAAAAATCATTGAATACCCGCAACGTGATGCAGAAAGTTCGCATATTTTTCTCACTCGCACACGTTCGCCCATTTCCTGCTCACATATGCATGCATTTGGCGTGATAAATAAAATGTTTAAGCACACATTTTGAAGCCATTGTGTAGATTTGACTTTGAATGCTCTTCCCTGGTTCTTTTCGGCCCCTCAACCCCCCTCAACCCCCCTTTGACCCCTTCTTACGTGACGCAACAGACAACGATGACGACAGCAACGACATCTTGATGCTGCCAGTGCAACTTTAGTTGTTGCCGTCTGCAATTGCTTTTATCAAACTGAGAAGAGGTCTTGAAATTTGAAATTCGACGACAAGGTACCGAAAAGCTAATTTATAAAAATACTTTCATGTGGTGGATATCTTATTGATTTTTTTATTTTTCATTAATCATCTTTAATAAATAATTATATATGTATTTATGTTGTTATGTGTTACACGAATAAACATTTCAGCTTATTCAAAATTTCTCACACTCAAGGGCCTTAATATTTGAAATTCGAAGCAAATGCGATTGACTAATTTATTTTATTTTAGTAGAATAAACAGCAATTAAACCTCTCGAACTACGGATTACTTTTATAGATATACCTAGAAGTGTATGGATAGTTATCTTAAGTACCTATTTATCGCATATTTTTAAACACATGTGATATAATGGGTTATATGTTATAATATCACTAATCACTACAGGAAACTCTGAGGAAAATTTCACTTGATTTCGAGGAGGGATTTTGCTGAATGGAGAATCAACAAAAGTCTCTTGGCGTCCAACTAAAAACTTAAATAAACCTGGAAAAGGGTCAGAAGTCCCAACTATAAACTTTTTGGAAAAACCTTTCAAAAAACTTTAAGGAAAAGCTGCACACCACGGAATTCCAACAGACATCACTGTAGGAAGCTTCAAGTAAATATACAATTCTGAGGAAATAGAGACAAAACTCTAAACTAAACTAATTATTACACATTACAAAAAATAAATAATCGAAAATTGTAAAAACATGGTTTAAATTTTAATATCTTTGCAATAAACATTTCTCTTTATACCTGAATTGCAAACATGAAAAACGGAGTTCTTTCGTTTAATAAATCAATTTTCTTAAGGTTAATACTAAATACCACATACTATTGTATATAGTCTCAAACAATTAAACTTAAAAAAAAGGTATTTAAACGTTTACCCATTATTCTTAGCACGAACATCTTATCTGCCCTTTCCAATATACCCATCCTACTTACGCAATCGATACAGGGTATTCGCACTCCAAAAACTTTACCATCGTACGCACACTTTACGTTTCATCTGCATTCTGTGTGCCATTTTCAATTGCAATTTTTTGCAGCATTTGCTGCTTTTGACACGACACAGATACGCAGGACGAAGGACCAAGGACGAAGGATGTCTGCTACGCGATGCGAGAGGAAACCGAGACCTTAACTAAGAAAATTCCAAGAGTTTTCCCATGCCGCATGCGGCATTTGTTGCATGGTTAGTAATGTCTCTTACACACGCTAATGAGCAAAATAATTAATGATCCCACAGACGTCGTCCTGTTTCTCGCTTGTGGCAACATTTTCCATGCCATTTGGCAGAAAGTTTCACTTGACAAACTTGAAGTAGTCCTGGAAAAGCAGTCCGGAATCCATCACTGGCTTCTCTGCCTGGCCTTAATAAGCAGTTAATTTCATAGTTTTCCCCAACAGTTTTTCTCGACAGCATCCCGCATTAAAAGTTGGAAAAACAACATTGCGACCATGTTGGCTTCTGTGTGTCGGCTGAATTTTCCTCGTGGCATT